GAGAAAGGTCAGCTAAAGAATGTGATAATGCCCACTGAGTAATGCCCATTGCATGTGAGGTCCAGATATGAGTGAATGAACGCTGAAACTTAGTTGTGCATTTTAATGAAGCGTTAATAACACAGAGGAGATGACCTTGCCTGGTGAAACAAATTGGCAATGCTAGCACGTAGCTACTGCTTAATGCAGTCCCGTGTTTGGCGTGTAAAATTGCAATTCACATTTTCACATGCACACTTGGATACTCTATACTACATACACTACTGTACACACGCACACATCTACAGCCAGAGAAAAACTTATTAGCTCACTCTCACTGAGAATTAATTGGGTTTCCTCACGCTTAAAATTAATTCCCTCCTTTATAATGTCCTATTTAAGAGTCATGGCAGCTAAATAAATAGAGGTGATGAATGGCTTGCATGGCAGTTAAGCATACATGTGCGGGGTCCCTTACTCTTCCCTGTCTGACCTGGGCTTACTAAATCAAATTGAAGTTCAAAGTGTGCGTTTGTGTTTCTTATTCGTACAAATCATGTCGCATCTTCATCTGGTCTCATCACAAATGTCTGGGCTCGGGAGAGAGATGGAAACTTGAAGGGTTGGGGGATTAATTTTTGAGCCACTGTCAGTTATGTTTTATGTTTAAAGATTAGCATCAGCTGTTTTTATTGCTTTGCAGCACTGTCTGATCCAGTGATTTATACTGCCTCGCTTATTTAGAGACATTTTTATATTGACTGAGAGCACTGGTATACCTGCTTAAACAAAAAGCGTCAAGGCAGAGTATAGACCGAGCTCAAACAGAATTCTGAAGAAAAATAAGTGTGTGTCATGTGTGGCTGTGTGCAGGCAGGACTGGAATGGTGGACCCAAAGTGCAGACTCTTGGAGACGAAAAAGGTGCACTTGAAAACAGCTTTAATGGTGAATCAGACCAAAAACTAAACTGAAAAAATACAAAAAACTAACCAGGCTGGCAAACAGAACACACAGTACAGAATGAGGGTAGATCGTGACACGGACAGAGGAAAACACAGGGCTTAAATACACAGAGGGAGCAATCAGTGAATGAGAGACAGAAGGGAAACACAGCTGGGGCAAATCAGGGCTTAACGAGGCAAGGGAAGCAAAACCTGATACATTAACCCGAGACACGGACTTCAAAGTAAAACAGGAAACATAACACAGAGATGCGGACCTGACAAGGGGATACAGCAACTAAGGAACACAGACAGAAGCCAAAAGACTAAAACTCTACCATAAACCACACAGAGAACCTAAACTCAGAACAACCCCACAAACCATTAGATATAATTATCCCAATCAAAGGACCAAAAACACAAAACCACTGGGTTGATGACCCAGCCCCCCTAACAGTCTGCTGTTGCATACAGTACTTATTTGTTGCATCACACTGGATGAAATCTGCAGTACTGATAATATCTCTGAAATTATACATACATTTGTAATGCCAGACCAAAATCATTCAATGTGGAATACCTGAAAACAAAAACAAAACCTGGCACAAAGCTTGAGAAAATCAGAGTTTCACCAGTTTAGTCCTTTTTTCTGGCACGAGTGGCCATATTTGGATGAGAAGTGAGAATACAAATTTATGAGCTAACGCTAGCAAGCTACATCTATAGACTACACTGGCACACACACCACCTAATGCTAATGAGTGCTAAGTAATAGCAAAACTGAAACACAAACTTTGGCGACGTCAACACGATAACTTATCAAAACAAACCGTGGAGTGGCTTCATTTCTTCCTGGACGTGTGCATTTGTTGTTCATGTTTCCCTTTTTACATTTGAAGTCTACAAATGTGCTGAGGTTGTGCATATAACACAAAATGAATCGTGTCTACTTTGTTTAGTTGTCTTTCTCAATCTAATAGTAGTCTAAAACATGACTTTATTTGTTTACCTGAAAATAACAAAGCTGTGACAGAAGTGAACAGCAGTATCACCTAAAAGAGCATTTTAACATCTCCACCTACGTTGGCAAAATGATCTTTTTCTGCTCACGGTTTATACCAAATACACGGCAGGCATAATGACTCAGAGTGTGATTTGTGCTCCGCGGCCTTACTGAGATGAATACAGCAATTGACAATCAAGACAAAACCCATTATCACTATTGAATACTTAAGACTAGCTTATTCTGCGTGATCTTCTTCTTTTTCATTTATTTATTTGTATCTGTTTTAATTATATTTCCTGATTTCATCACAACGGCTTTGAAATTTCATTCTTTTGTCCAGTTGAATGCATTCAGATTTCAAGGAGATTTGTTATTTGTTCTTGTGGTAGAACTCGTCTCTGCTCCACTGCAGCTTTGCTGTCTTTGCTGTTGTCTTGTGGTTGTCAAGGCAACTGTAAAGTCAATTTGATACAATTTTGAAACATTCAATAATTGTTGACAAATTACCTATAGAACGCGTCAGTTGTTCCCTGACAGACAGCACTGTTGTCTCTGGCAGTGATAGTCACTGGTAAAACAAGGTTTTTTTCACTGATTGTAAGCCAGCTGTCTCCTTATTGGTTCTCTCTTACAAATGCAAGGTTTAAACAGCAAGTAGGTTGGGCTTGTGAGCTCATGCTCAGTTTCTCAGA